TTTATAGGTGCGTTTCTGTGTGTGATTATTTGAATTAAAAAAACTTCATAGGATTGGTAAAGAATGCCCTTATTTTGGAACAAAAAGATAATGTATGCTGAAACAGCCAATAGATTAGATCATTTAAGAGTTGAGAGATTTTGATTAACATCCTTTTCAGATGAAAATACAATTGCACCGACGTCTTCTGTGTGGATGGCGGACGCTTCTGACCAACAAATTATTATCTAAAAGAGGATCCTCATGACTGCTGCACTCTCCTCCAGTTATTTTGCTTGTTTGCTTGTCTATCATCTGTTGTAAAAGAAGAAGCCATGTGAGCCATGTTTCAAGAATTCACACTGAATTAGACCTATGCTGGCTTTAGATTGAAAAAATTGTATCTTTTGGACCGCAGTTAGGTTAAGTCATGAGTCCTGCATGGTCACAATTCTCCCCAAAACTTGAGATGCCTCTGAAACAAAACCTGTACTTTAGTTTTAGGAGTTTATGTACTTTCAGTACTTAAGGAACTAGGCAGAAGTTTCAAGAGTCCATCATTACTGGACACATATGTACTTCAGTCCAAATCCTGACTAAAATACCCGGATCCTTTCATGCACATAGGTCAATGTGTCTTCTGCTTATTTGACAGCACTATCTATCTCATTCATTTATCAACTTTTATATTATTATCATCCTTCTTTGACAATGGTAAATGTTTTTTGCAGTCCAGCTGATTAAACCACTCTCCACTTCCATCTGTTAGCACTTGGCCTGTACTCAAGCAGGATAACAAGGCTAGCATTGTCAAGATCTTTCAGATGGCTGATTTTTGGTATCAATGCAGAATGCTATCCCTGTAGCGCTACACCAGAGCGTATCTCCAGCAATGACCCATTATTTCTTATACTAAAAACTGGAAGTGACAGCGAGGTCAGTTTCCCATGCATCAAAACTTGATCTTCTTGGTAGATACCACCTTTTTCCTCCGGATAGTCCAACAGCGTTGTTTTGCAGTTATCAATCGTTATGAAGAATATTTGAAAATGTAGCAATATAATGCCATTTGTTGCCAGATGCTCTGTGCTTCTGTAAATAACAATCTAAAAGGCAGACTTTTAATAGTTACTTTCACAATTAAAAGTTGTTCTGAAAGTGACCTTGATTTTAGTGGCCACTCTTTAAACAGCATGATCTATCCAAGTAAGGCGGAATGCCAATGCAGTTCAGGCTCATTTTATGCAAAAGAGTTGGTTACTACCCAGGGTCACTATTTCTAATTACCTTAATCCAACTCCTCTGAAGTTTGGTTCACTTAATTGCTTCTCCTGGAAACCATTTGGAGACATGATTTTGTTGTTTTTTTTTTTTTTTTCAGTTGTACAGTAACTATGGATCTCTGCTAACTGCCAGAAATTGCTAATAAAAAATAATTGAATGTCAGTTCTATTACTATTGTTATTTTTCAGAAAATTTCTCTAATTTTTTCTCCATCCTTTGTTATCCACACCCCAAAGCACCTCCACAACCAACAGAGAAGTTTCTTCTTGTTCTTCTTCAATTAAATATTTCCACAAAGTATCTAGTGCATTTTGAAGATTCTTCATTCAGCAGAGCTTCCAAGACCTCAAGTATATATCTCATCCCTCATGAATGATACTCTTTACCAGTGACTTCAGTAAAAGTTGCACTTTTAAAATGATTTAGTCCATAATAATATAGTGAATATAGAAACAATATAGAAATAATTCTATTTATATAATTCATCAAAAGCCAAAGTCTGACTGAGTCTTATGCAAGTGTATCAAACAATTGCATTTTTCCGGCAGTCTCTAGAGAAGCAAAGGATCTGCCTGGTCTTTTCTTAATTCCCACTGAAGCGTAATGACATGAAAATGGCAGACTGTAAGTAGCCTATACCACATGAAATCATACATGGTTTGGGATGTTCCTGCTTTGCAGTTGGCTCAGTGAAAAATCAGCCCTAGCTATTCTGGCAGTAAAATCTTTGATACTGTGAAAGATAACTTCCACAGAAAAAGCAGAATACCTTGCAAATGTCTTCACTGCCTTATAAATGAAATTCTGTCAAAGTAGTATCATTTGTGAATATATGGGGCTAGTCAACAATTCAGTGTCATGCTTCTCAACAAGTATCACACTGCAATTCAATACTGTGTATGTAATGAGCTCAATACAGATTCCACAGAGTGAGAAGGGCCCTTGGGACAGCTTTACACTTTATTTTAACCTAACAAAAGCCCTCCAAATGTTCCGCTCCTTCAGGTCTGCCTGCTAAGTTATGGAGGAGTCATTCTCTTAGACTTCAAAATGTTCCAGAATGAGTCAACTATGTAGCTGGGAAAACCATAATGGGTATAATATGGGGTATAATGAGAATAAGGGACAAAAAGGTTTGGGGGGCTTCCATTTGTACTGTATCCCAGTCTGCTTCTGTTGATTTAAAGGGGAACGTGGACTCTCCTGCTTGCTTTAGTACCCAACCTTTACTACTTTTCCCCGTCCTCTCCTCCTCTGATAACTTCCTCAGTAGCATGAGATGGCAGAAATGTTTACAGCTGCAAGGTCAGAGAACTATGTGCAGATTTCTGGGCATTATGTATTCTTTTCTTCTGATAGGAGAACATGATCCAGGCAACAATCAGTAGTTAGTCTCCTCTTAGGCCATGTCCATAGGACTCATCCGAAAGATTACGACGACTCCAGACATACCTAATCGCTGATGGAAATGTATCTAATTTAATAATTTAAACTTTCTAAGGTGATCCCCATAGCACACAAGAAACAGAATCACTATCCATAATGTATGAATATTATATATTCATATATTCATTTCCAGTCGAGATAGTTATGCATCGGGTAGGTTAAGAAATACATAAACATGCAACTGTATTTCCTAAGATATTGGGGGGAAAAGTTAAGAAGAATTTAGGCTATGCCTAGGAAAAAGGTAATGACTCATGCTCTCAGTTTGATCAAAACGCACATCCTTTGAGGTACAGTCTATAAACACAGCAATTAGTAACATACCGTCCGCGCTGCCGGGGCCGCCCCCAGGCACCAGGCGGGCTGGCCCGCGGCCCCTTCTCCGCGCCGCGGACCGCGGATGAGTTGAGGAGCAGAAGCTATTGCACTTCATTAATGTTTAATGTTTTCCTTCAGCAGCCTTCAGATAAGGCTGAACGAGAGCCATTTTAATGCATCGCATAAAATAAAGTGTCTGCGCGCCGCGGCAGTTACAAAAAGTGGGGCCGCTCCAACAAGCAGACGCTGAGCACCCGTTTCTGAGATACGGGCA